AATATTATACATCGTATTTTTAAACAGACTGAATATTTTGGAAGTGAATTCTGGAAGGTGAATATGAATTATTGAATTTTTAATTATGAAAATGTGTGTGAAATATTTTGAATTGAAATATTCACAGCTTAAATAAACAACTATGTTAATTTTCAGGACCTAAAAATGCAAGCCCTGGAAATACAAGGTATTAAAATGCAAGCACTGTTAATGCAATGCATTATTTTTTCAGTTAGTGCTATTCAACATGCTTTTTTGTTTCAAAGACATATGGCATTATTTTTCTTCCATACACAGAAAGCTGGACAATTCCGTCAATGGCAGTGAAGCTTTGTTTCACAAAATAGGTTAGTGGCCGGGAAAGGGTTAGGTGATAAAAGGAATATGAAGAAAACAGGTGATTACTATGGGTTGTATATAACATACTTCTATATCTTTAAAATTGTACCACAATAAACACACTTTTGTATATGTTTTCACACTTATGTTTTCATGTTTTATGGAAGCAAGATGTGAATGTGTCAAATTTTATAATATACTGCTTAACAAAAAGTTTTTAAGTGATCTATATATTTCACTTTCATACTAGTTATTTGAGTTTAGTTACATTTTTTCAGTTGTGTTTACTTTTATTTTAGTGCAGTTAACAAATGCTCTTCTTTCATTTTATTTTTAGTTACAAAACTGGTAATCTCACATTCCTCCAACGTCTGGAGGAGATTAAAAATATATATAATATTCCCATAATCAGCCAATGTGCAACATTAATCTCATTGCTGTGGCATTTGATATAGCTGTTGGTGAAATGTACTTACTTGAGTATCTTCAGCTCACACACAGAATTCTTCAGTCCCTCACAGATCTCTTTGACTCCTGAGTCCAGCAGACGGCTGTTGTTCAGGTTCATCTCTTTCAGGATGGTTTTGGAGGAGAGAACAGTAGCTAGAACTGAACAGCTTTTCTCTGTCAGCCTACAATTATTCAGCCTGAACAGAATAAAACAGCATTAGTTAATATTCAGCATATATTTAACACACATCAGATCAACAGCTCTTCATATCTGCTCGCACATGTGACTGACAGACTTTTATAATGATAAACAAGAGTTTTAAATGTATAACATCACTCACTTAATTTTCTCCAGTTTGCTATGAGAGTCCATAAAAAGAGCAGAGAGTTTCCCCCCATTCAGGTCTCCTAATTCGCATTAGTTAATATTCAGCATATATTTAACACACATCAGATCAACAGCTCTTCATATCTGCTCGCACATGTGACTGACAGACTTTTATAATGATAAACAAGAGTTTTAAATGTATAACATCACTCACTTAATTTTCTCCAGTTTGCTATGAGAGTCCATAAAAAGAGCAGAGAGTTTCCCTCCATCCAGGTCTCCTAATTTAACTTCACTCAGATCCAGTTCTTTCAGTACTAATGGACTTGTACCTAGAACTTCAGTGAGATAATCACATGCTTCCTGTGCAGCAGCACTTTTCAGAAACCTACAGGAAGTAGATGAGAATTTTAGATCATTTATGTTTTTTGCATTATTTTTTCCACAAAATATTTGTCACAAAACTTACCTCAGTATCTCTAATTTGCAATTTACACTCTTCAGTCCAGTGCAGAGATGAATCACTCCTGAATCCTGCAGATTATTATTGTTCATGTTCAGCTCTTTCAGACTGGTATCTGATCCAAGAACTGTAGCCAGAGCTGGACAGCTTTTGTCTGTTAAGTTACAATCATTTAGCCTACAAGAGAAATAAAGCACACCACATAATTAGATACATGTAATATATTTGTTAAATACAAACATTAAATTTATACCAATTATTTTTATATGAACAGTAAATATTCTGTGAGTAATGTGAGCTACAATGACATTACTCTTCAAAAAACTAGTACTTTTGGTATATTAGAATTTCATTGATATAGTGATACATTTCATAAATAATAGCATTCTTGATTAAAAAGATAACATTTAAGGTTTATAGCTTTAATAATAATCAATCATACATTTAAAGTGCTAGATCTATTATCTTAATAAGTGTCTTGAGGTTTAAATTTGAGGATTCAATTAATTTTGGGATTAAAAAATATATAATTCACCCATAAAAGTATCATTCATTTATACATGGTATATGGTTAAGAATCAGTGTAGATCGGGGTGTCCAAACATGCTATAGATCAATGTAGAAAAATGCATTTTTAAATGAGAACAAAACATGACAAAATGTAAATAAATGACTTACAAAGCTCTTTTGGTAGTTTTGATGACTGCCGATAATCTAATGAGACACTCGTCTGATTTCTTGAATTTCTGAAGCTCAAACTCCTCCAGCTCCTCCTCTGATGTCAACAACACAAAGACCAAAGCAGACCACTGGGCAGGTGAAAGATCAGCAGATGAGAGGCTTCCTTTGCTAAGGTGGGTCTGAATGTCTTTCACCAGAGTTTGGTCATTCAGTTCATTCAGACAGTAGAACAGATTGATGGATCTCTCTGGAGACAGATTAGCTTCAAATTGTTGCTTGATGTACTTAACTATTTCCTTTTTGCTCTGCTCATTTCTATTTTGCTGCGTCAACAGACCCTGTAAGAGTCTCTGATTGGACTGGAGTGACAAACCAAGGAGGAATCGAAGAAAAAGATCCAGGTGTCCATTGTCACTCTCAAGTGCCTTGTCCACTGCAGTTTTGAGCAAATCAGGCATGGCTTCATTTTTGTTTTCCTGTACTGTAGAGTCTTGAAAAAACACACTTTTCTTGTTGATGTCTAGAACCAGATGTGCATAAAGGGCTGCAATAAACTCTTGAATGCTCAAGTGAACGAAGCAGTACATGGTACCAAGAACGATCCCTGTTTCCTCCTTAAAGATCTGGGTACACATGCCTGAGTACACTGATGCTTTATAGACATCAATACCACAGGCTTCCAGATCTGTGTCATAGAAGATCACATTGTTTCTTTCCAGCTGATCAAATGCCAGTTTCCCCAGTGAAAAGATGGCATCTTTATCCCAGGAAACATCTGGTGTGTATTCTCCATCATACTTTCGTCTGCTCTGCTGGATCTGAAATCTGAGAAAGTGTGTGTACATTTGTGTCAGAGTCTTAGGAGTGTCTTCAGTATTTGACTCCTGCAGTGTTTTGGAGGCATCATCAGCCTGATTGTTTTTCACAACATTATTTCTTTTCTCCTCTAAAATGTTCTGGAGAACACTGGCTGAAATCCAGCAGAAGTCTGGGATGTGGCAGTGGCAAATTATCTAGGTCCATGTTAACAGATGGATCTGAATTCTAACCAAACACTAGGGATTGTCACAAAACTTACCTCAGTATCTCTAATTTGCAATTTACACTCTTCAGTCCAGTGCAGAGATGAATCACTCCTGAATCCTGCAGATTATTATTGTTCATGTTCAGCTCTTTCAGACTGGTATCTGATCCAAGAACTGTAGCCAGAGCTGGACAGCTTTTGTCTGTTAAGTTACAATCATTTAGCCTACAAGAGAAATAAAGCACACCACAGAATTAGATACATGTAATATATTTGTTAAATACAAACATTAAATTTATACCAATTATTTTTATATGAACAGTAAATATTCTGTGAGTAATGTGAGCTACAATGACATTACTCTTCAAAAAACTAGTACTTTTGGTATATTAGAATTTCATTGATATAGTGATACATTTCATAAATAATAGCATTCTTGATTAAAAAGATAACATTTAAGGTTTATAGCTTTAATAATAATCAATCATACATTTAAAGTGCTAGATCTATTATCTTAATAAGTGTCTTGAGGTTTAAATTTGAGGATTCAATTAATTTTGGGATTAAAAAATATATAATTCACCCATAAAAGTTTATACATGGTATACATGGTATATGGTTAAGAATCAGTGTAGATCGGGGTGTCCAAACATGCTATAGATCAATTGCATTTTTATTTTGATGACTGCTGATAATCTAATGAGACACTCGTCTGATTTCTTGAATTTCTGAAGCTCAAACTCCTCCAGCTCTTCCTTTGATGTCAACAACACAAAGGCCATTGCAGACCACTGGGCAGGAGAAAGCTCAGCAGATGAGAGACTTCCTTTGTTAAGGTGGGTCTGAATGTCTTTCACCAGAGTTTGGTCGTTCAGTTCATTCAGACAGTAGAACAGATTGATGGATCTCTCTGGAGACAAATTATCTTCTAATTTCAGCTTGATGTACTGAACTATTTCCTTTTTGCTTTGGTCAATGGCATCTTGCTGTGTCAACAGACCTCGTAAGAGTAGCCGATTGGATTGGAGTGACAGACCAAGAAGGAAACGAAGAAAAAGATCCAGGTGTCCATTGTCACTCTCAAGTGCCTTGTCCACTGCAGTTTTGAGCAAATCAGGCATGGCTTCATTTTTGTTTTCCTGTACTGTAGAGTCTTGAAAAAACACACTTTTCTTGTTGATGTCTAGAACCAGATGTGCATAAAGGGCTGCAATAAACTCTTGAATGCTCAAGTGAACAAAGCAGTACATGGTACCAAGAATGATCCCTGTTTCCTCCTTAAAGATCTGGGTACACATGC